AGACAGACAGACAGACAGACAGACAGACAAATAGACAGACAGACACACAGACAGACACACACACAGAGCGACAGACAGACAGACAGACAGAGAGACAGCGCAGAGACTTGTTTGTAGCGAGCGAGCAGGAAATTCTCAACCCCGCGCGCCACTGGGGTTGAAAGGGTTAACAACAGCCGTCTGTGCACACACTGGCGTTCCCAAGTTCGAGGGCAAGCCTTAACGTGACTCGCTGTTCACGTGGTCTATGCTACAACAACTACCACCACTAAACCATCTTTGCTGGGGGAAGAAAACCCAAGAAAAATCAAAGTGTTGTTGGGAAAATTGCAGAAAGACAATCTATTTACTCATAATTTATGTGAAATTTGACCAAAACCCGTCTCGACTCGAGGGTTCCCGCTAGATCGAGCTCCGATGTGCAATAATGAGGTCAGGTCAGGTGTACTGGCTCGTAGTGCTGACCTTGAATCCAGCGATTGGTTGATTTTCTGTGAACATCCGGGCTGTTCTCTTCTTACGACTCCCATCCCTCATGTCGGAATGAATGGAAAAAATAAAAAAAATCGCTCACTGCAGTCCACTGGCATTGCCACTTGCCCACCGTAAGTATTGAATCTTGTCATAAAACTGAAGTGTCTTCTCGGACATTTTTCAGTCCCGTTCGAACTGCTTTGTAGAGATAGATGTATAATATTCTAGAAACAAACTACGCTTCACCCGCCCAGTCATCGTAGGAATATTCTACTGTACTGTTTACTACCACAGCAGTCAGCAGGGGATTCTTTTCTCGTAGGTTGGTCCAAATAGGGAATTTGTCCCCAAAACAACCACGCCTTGAGGCTGTTGGAGACATGGAGCGACATTCTCATAGACCGAGCACCTCAGACTTCAGTGGAAGAACCATCATGTATTGATTGTAGTGGGGATAGAATCTGTTGATTTGACTGTACCTGTCGTTGTCAGTAGTCGTCATTGCTGGAACAGCTACCACAAGCGTGTTGAAACACCGTGACCTTGTTTATGTAAACCGACGGAGGTTTTGTTTTTTTGTTTTTGGTTTTATTCGCCCTGTCATCTGGACGGCACGGCGTATCACTTCGACTTCGACGCTTCGTCCGCGGAGTTTTTGGATGTTTCAGCATCTCTGCCAATACTTACAAGTAGCGGTCACTTGTAAGTTGTCTGCTGGAACATGTTCTTTGAACTGGACACATATATATATAATAAAATTATGTTTTAGAATCTCAGGAAGAGTTTTAGAATATTGTTTTAAATTGTGTCAGAAGGAATTCACTAAAACTGGAAACATAAAAGTAGACTAAAAGAGTGTTGTAAAAAAGGAGCGCACCCTTTGCGTGGCCTGCTTTAAGTCAAAGATCACAAGATTTGATGCCGTGTTTCAAAATACTGTTTTCAGCCAAATACTGAGCAAATTTTGTTATTAGAGAAGAGAAACAGCCACAGAAATGTCAATGTCAATGGCGGCATTGCCAACAATGACAATGGCAGTAGAACAGTCTCTAGGGCCTCTATAGAGAGTAGATTTTCATGCTTACAAACATATTACATTAATGACTTGTGATGTTTGAAGATTAGAAAGAATGTACACGTATATTAAATTAATGACTTGTGATGTTTGAAGATTAGAAAGAATGTACGTCTTCCTGACAACATTCTAGACTTTCATGGAAGTAATAAAAAAAAAAAAGAAATGTTTCATTTTCATGATTGTTGGGTGGACAGGTTGAATTCTGAACATCCCAATGTGACAATTTCCTGCTTGATTGATTGAGTCTCTTGGCTCTTGGCCTTTATTTTCTGTTCTTTTGCCTTTGGCCCTAGCTAGCATAATTTTTGTGTCTTTGATTATTTGAACAAGTTGAATTAATTTGCTTCGATTTAAACTTTATTTTAAAAGCGTTCTTATCTTGTATAATTTTATGCTTGAGAGTGAATCTTGAAACTTAATTTTAGACTTCAGTTTGAGCATTGCACTAAATAGATCGAAACAGATAGTTCTAGACCTGCTATCGATGTATTTTTGTTTCGATGCGAACTTAAAGATAAATGTTTGAGATTTGAGAAAAGCTAAAGGAGTGAACATTTTGCTTGTTTTATAACGTGTTTAAGTTTTTACCGATTTTTTGAATTGTCAAAAGTTCAGAAAAGGAAATCAGGCCTCTCAGTTGCTCAATTCTGTCCTCCTCTGAAAGCCATTTTTGTGAGGCATCGTGGTGAAATCAGGTGATGCTAGAATAATGAATTCGAACAAATTTAACTGACATTTTTTCCTCTCTGCCAGTTTTAATCAGCTTTTATTTCCCTTGGCTCGACCCCTTTTATGGCCATTCAAAGACACCTTTCTCTGTGGATTTGACTGAAAACGTTAATCAAAGTCAAAGACACCAAAAAAATTTTAATTTGCAGTTTTCAAATTTTATACATTTAAGCTTTGGAAATCACCAAATTTTGGCTGCCATTTTCTCACCAATTTTACCTCTGACACCGCAACCTCCGCCTACTTCAGTCGGAAATATCTCTCTTCTTCAAGACGAGTTAGTTAATTATTTTGTCATCCAAAGCAAGACAGATGACCTAGCTTTAATTCAGTTGATACCTTTAAATTAATACAATGTGTGCCCAAAAATTGATGAGCTCAGTTAATAGTATTTTTTCATCCAAAGCAAGACGAACGACCAAGCTTTAATTAAGATATACCATTAAATTTTTGAAAATATATATATATATATATATATATATATATATATATATATATAATATATATATATATGCATGCCCAAAAATTGGCGAGCACCTGATTTCGCTGTGTGGTGAGGCACTTTTTGGTTGTGGAAACATTCAGACGATGACTGGCAAAGTTGTTGAATCTCTTGAAGACCTCTCAGCTTTAGAAGTTGAAGGATTACAATAACATTTAGCAGAACTTACCAACGTGGGCAATGTAATATGATAAAATCTTTATGGCCAACTACTGGGCTGTTTGGTAATTCTTGTGGGCTGTGGGAATCTCCCGCACAGTAACAGGTGTGGTGTTGGTGGCCTAGTGGTTAGGTTCTCTGACTTGCAACTGTAAGGTCGTGGGTTCGAACTACGTCAGGGACCTGGAGTTACGTGGGAAAGGTACTTTACACAAAATTTTCTCACTTCACCCAGGTAGAAATGGGTACCCGGCTATAGACGGTGAAATATCTTGTCAGTATGTTATAAAAGTGAACGTTTAGAGACAATAAAGGGTTGGGTGCCCAATAGACAGCATTTTCGGAGTCATGTCCCACAGGGTGAAAATGGACTTTGCGCTAAATCAGATGTCATCAAGACAATTGAGGAATCATGAACACATTGCCATGCTATGACCCATGTCGTCTCGGCTTAGAGAAGATAAAAATGGTACAGTCGTAGGTTAAGATCTGCCCGGAGAATGTAGACTGTTGAGGTGTAGGAAAGTCCTAGCTGCAGATCGTCTTCCACCTCATGGGACTCGACTCCTGAAATCTTCACCCTGGTGACGTTTAAAGGGCTGCGCGTGGTGCGTGTTCCACCGGAAGTGGTCATTTTTAAGGACATTTTTAGTTCTGATTCCCAATAGATCCAAACGGACGGAACTTCTCTACTCATGATGCTATTTAAGGTCTTGAGGGCAACTAAACATTCTTTCCATGTCGTGCGCAGAACTTATGAAATGTCAAGGGATTGTGGGTTTATGGAGAGGTAATCATAATGTTCGATACAAAAAGATCTCCATGGTTTTTACTTATGATCTCATCAGACAAATAAAATTCGGGAAAATAATATCTGATTTGCTGACATCTGTTTTAAATTTGTTAGACTGCTGTAGCTTGCAATATGGCGATTGTTGCAACTTTTAGTGGTAGGCCTAATGTGAACTGGTGCGCCATGCTACGAAAATTGGGACTAGGTTGAAAATGGGTCGGTTTTTTAAAAATGCGTCGTATAGGAGCAAGACCATTCTATGGATGTATCTAAAATGAATATCAGACAAATTCCTTTTGGCTTCTAAATATTATGCTCTAATCTGAAACGCAAAACTTCAGTATGGAGGAAGATAAAACAAGTTGTGTAGTTGGGTGGGTTTTTTTGGATCGCCCTGTATTTGCTGAACTTCTAGATTTTTTTAACTTCTGGGTTCTCGTTTAGTAATTAATACACACACACAGAAGCACAGTGATAAACACAAAACACACTCATAGTGATACGTACTCTCACACCCACAATGTGCGCACTCCCATGTCTATGTCGACGCAACATCACACGCAGATAATAATTGAATAATATCCACTCAAGTACACTCATGCGAACACATGCACCCACGTTGTAAACACACTTGTTCACTTACACATTCATTCACACACGCACGCACGCACGCATGCACGCACGCACGCACGCACACACACACACACACACACACCAACAATGTCATGCACTCACTGTTGCATGCATGGCATAAAGAACCATCAAGCATATTGATCGTCTCAGTCTTGTCCAACTCATCTCCTGATCTTTTTTTTTTCTTCCTGATAGAAGAGGCTTTGAGCCTTGAGGGCATCCCTCGTGTGTGTGGCACTCCTTCTCACTCCTCCGCTTGTCCTTTCTAGGGGCTTAATCTTCTTTCCTTATTTGCCTGCCTTTCTTGAAAGTTTCTGACATTTCTCCTCATTCTTTTTATACACTCATATAATAATGATATACACATGCATATATGCAGTTTAATTGAAAACTAAAAAAAGAGGTGTTCATTCTTTTCCGTTTTTTTTTCTTTTTGGGTGAAACTCTCATCTTCGCAGTTTTGTTCTTTCTTTTCAATAATCCTTAAATATTTTGCAGACTGGACTGAAAATTAATCGTTAATTGTTTTGTTTTCCCAGTTGTTCTCAGATTATAAAGGATGGAATCTGATTTTCGTATTTGACAGTCTTTTTTCTTTTTGAAGAGGCTCCGTCTTTTTCACAGCATGGTATCATTCAGGTTTTTTTTCTGGTCTTGCTGTAAGTTGAAGTTTGTTGTATATATAGAATGATATTTTTGTCTCTCTATCTGTTTCTTCCATCATTCAGTTGTTCATGCTTGTCTGTTGGTAAGACACAATGGATTCCAGTGTTCTAAGTCTAAGTTATCTGAGTACTGAACTAAATAAGGCTGACGTTTAAGATGTGAATCTCTGTTACACTTGTTTGCCTTTTTCTTATTATATGATGTCTTTAAGTGTGTAGCTGGGGTAACTTCATTCTTGTTCTGGATAAGGAAGAGAAAGGTAATGTAGCGATCAATCATGAAAATAATAGAGATGATGATTCTTACTTTAAAATCATATGTGAAGATCTTTATGTTATAATGTACTGTAGTTTATTGTAACCTTTTGCATGTAATTTAAATTAACTGTGATTGCGTGTGTCAGTGGAGATACAAATATTACTACCTGTGGTAGTTCGAGGGTAATCTTCTGGGGCTGATAAACTCCAAAGTAACTCATTTTTACGTCAAGTAAAACAAGATAATATTTCAGGGACATTTTTTTTTGTAGTTTACATCACCCGCACTGTAAGTTTTCAAGGAATTTATAAAACATATGACAAATTTGATTTTTATAACCTTAAATTTTCCTTGCTGCAAATTTCAATGTAGATTTTCTTTGAAAAAAAGTTTATCCGGCCCACACGATGTATATTGGAGCGCTCTCTTAGGCCTGTGGAAAACAGGAATGATTTTTGTAACCTTGAACTTTTTCTCTCTGCTCTTCCATATATTGAATTCTATTGGAGTGATCGTCACTCACACACACAAATACAGTTTGATTTACTATTGTAGAAGGGAATGCCAGAGGTTTGTGTGGGGGTTACAGGTGGGAGTGGAAACTTTAACCCTCCCGTGTCAAGTCTGTCCCAAGCACCTGAGTCTCAGCTCTCTCTCTTTTTTTGGGGTTGCGTTGCAGAAACAGAAAACTATAATTTCTCGGAGGGTTAATGTTGAATATATATGTATCATCACTGCATCTGTAATTTGTTTCGATTTGAAATGTAAATAGTTGAAGGCATTGATCATCTCTCCCCTCTCACGCTGTCGGGGTGGTGTTGTGTAGCGTTTGATAGTTCTGACATTTGCATCCTGTCATTACGTAGTGATAGCGAACTCTGTCATTTTGTGGTTTCTCTCCGCTGTCTCTTTCCTGCCTACCCGCTATCAACATAATCACGTGTTTTTGTTCTTTAACCCTTTGTTAGGTGGTCTTGAAAGTTAGAAAAGGAAAATATATGAGGAATCTTGTAGTCACGATAAAGAGAATCAACCTCGTATGGTATATTCTAATCCATTTTCTGTCCTGTCCAATTTGCTTAGATACAAAGTTTGTCCGTAAACGACCCAAAGTTTGGTGACTGTCCGAAAGTGTGGCCAGTGGTTTTTAAAAAAAACTTATGTTTACTATGGTATTCAGCTTCTTTACCAACTATATATTATATATGGTTGCTTTTAAGGACAAGCGGGCTACCCAGATTTCGGGGGTTTTCTTAACTTACACCAAAAGTAGGCATTGCCCTACGTACAGGAGACGTTTTTTTAATTGTTTAATTGGTGTGTATATTTCTTTGGTTTTAGAGAAAACTCCTTGTCTTTTAAAGAAACTGAACAAGGGTCCAAAACTTTACCTTCGATTTTCTCAAAACAACATTTTTCAGGATAGCCCCCTTGTGCTTAAACGCGACCATTATATATGTTTGTTTTACGCCTGTGAAATATAAATAACCTGTAAGTTGGTCAAGGTGCATTTTCCTGTTTGTTTAATCAAAGATTGAACATAACAAGATAGTTCACTCCTCTCTTTGAGCCAATTAAAAAAAGTGTCCTCAAAATTTGGTGCCGCTCTCTTCGAAAAAGTGTGGATTTTGCAAACAGAGTCAGCCTTATTGTGGAAAAAACAATAAAAGCAAAACTAACGATCTTTGGTTTAATTGAGGGAGAGTTTTTGTGTTGTGTTTTCATCCTTAGTGTGAAAAGGTTAATCTTTGAACAACTTAACAGTCCCAATCTTCTCCCCTGCAAAATGTTGCTTTTATCACACTGACTTGCGATAGTAGAATAGAACTTGGACAATTCATCTGTGAAAAAATGATAATCGAGTTTTTTAAAATTAGAACTATAGGGGAGATAATGCTGAGGGGTACTCTTGAGTTCACGTGAACTAGGTGTTATTATTGTAAGTTATCTGTGGTATAAGATGCGATAGAGCGTCCTTTGTTGTTTGATCAGTGGCCTGTTTGCCTTCACCAGGTTCTTGAGTGACCGTTGACCTACATGTTCTGTACAGTGGAACCTGCGTAGAAAGGAAAATAGAATGGCTCTATGTGTGGTAAATAGGATCCTCATTCTTTTCTGTATGGTTTGTTACTCTCCTGTAACACCTCTAGTCTTTGGCACTTGTATGACGTATTTGTGGTGCAAGTGCCGTAAAACTTGAACTAAAACTAAACAAACTAAATTGCTCTTGTTGCTGATATCTCTTAACCCCCCTTTCACACACACGCACACACTTTCTATGTCATTTTCGTCTCTTTCAGGAGGCCCAAGCCACACCAACTCTCTTTCTCTTCTTTTCCACTTTCTCTTTTTCTTATTTACGAGCTCTAAGGCCCCACACGCATTCAATCAGCATTTTGTGACTTAACACATTTTTACTTACAATTCATACATATATGTGTTTATGTAATCTTTTAATGCATTCGTGTGTACTGAAGCATATATATGCGTATTATCACAAAATTAGGTTTTTATTTCCAGATGAATAAGCAGACCTTCACTCCTCTCCCCCGCCCCCCCCCTCCCCGTTTTTGTCTGTCTTTTTGCAAGGTTGAGTGCAGCAGCTTGAACTGAGTAGAGCCCGTTGGGTTGGAGCAGATCTACGACACAGCCACACACGACTCCCTGCCTGTAGGAATTGAAGGTCGGCGGAGAGGAGGAGTGCTGTGTGTGTGTTCTGTTTTTGTCCACTCCGGACTGGGGAATTATTTTCATTCAAGAAAACTGGAAACGTGAAAGTTGTGTTGTTGTTGGTTGTTTGAAAGGAGAGTCATTTCACTGACTGACATTTTCAGTTTGGTGGAGCGACAAATTCATGAAAGAGATCCCAATACATTGATGCGGAAGTGAAAGAAAAGAGACAGTGTTTTATGTCGGAGAGATTTAAAGAGACAGTGTTTTATTATAGTAGGACTTGTGTGGGGTTTTTTGGCTTCGTCTGAGCTTTTCTCAGAAAAAGGACCATCTGTGTTTGGCGAGTCCTGTGTTGACCACAAAGACTGCACCATGGACTGGACAATGATCGACCCGATCGGCACCTTCTTCTGTCTGGGTGACATCGTCGATGGCGTCTTTGTGCCGGCCGATGATTGTGACGGTGAGTAGTGACGTGTGTGTGTGTTTGTGTGGTTTGTGTGTGTGTGTGTGTGTGTTTGTGTGGTTTGTGTGTGTGTGTATGTGTCGTGCGTGTATGTGTGGAAGAGGGGACTTGGGACATCCTCATCTGGGTGGTTGGTGGGTGCTGCTCTCGTGTTCATTCCTTCTTTCCTCGATCCTACCTAACATTTGTCGTCCTCTCTCTTCCTTCTTTTCCTTTGATACGTTACACTCTAGTAGTAGCACTTGCATCTTCCGTCTTTGCAATGGTGCTCATATGACCTTATGCAGTTGCGAGCGCTGTAAAACCTCTACTAAAAAAAAACCCCGACTTATTTTTGTGTTCATGCTGTGAAACTCATACTTGAACGAATGCTCCTTCTTTCCTATCAAACTTCTATTGTCCTTTTATATCTCACCCTTCTTTTTTTGCGTTTGTTTCTCTCTTGTAACACCTCTAGTCTTCGGCACTTATATGACCTTATTGTGTTGCAAGTGCCGGTAAAACACTTTACTTAAACAAAAGGCCTGAGAGCCGAGTGTTCTGTTTGCCGTGGCCGGCAGCTTTATTACTATTGATAGCCTTCAAGCCTGAGAGCAGAGATAAAAAGTTGTTCGGCCGCGCTGCATCAATCAATTAAATTAATCGGCTAATCAACGAGTGTGAAGTATTGCCGAGTGTGTGCTGATGTTTTCCTAAGTAGGGAATGAAGTGTTTTATTAAGGGCATTCTTGCAGTCATAAATGATGCTGTTTTTTCTGCTACTATTTTTTTTTCCTTTTCTCCCTTCTCCTTGTTCTTCTCTGTAATCATCATAAAAATATCTTTCTCCTCACTGACTGTTGGGGGCACTACAGAAACATGTTTCTCCCTTTTTCTTTTCTGTAATCAACAAAAAAATTAATTTCATTCTCCTTACTGACTCTTAATGCACTCTGCAGAAACATGTACGAGTGATGTTGTGTTTTATTTGCTGGATATTTCCTGACTGTCAGCACACAGAAGGTTTGCTCCTTCTTTCTATCAAAGATCTATCGTCCTTATCTCTCCTCCTTTTTTTGTGTCTCTGTTTGTGTTGCAAGTGCCGTAAAACTCTTTGAACTAACACAAGCATTCTTCCCTTATACGGGGTTGTTAGAACAGGTTCCACTTTATTTCTGTATAACGTTTATATATATATATATATATA